AAACCTGTCTGTAAATTGAGTTGAATGTGGGTGAGTGAAGTAGTATTTGGAAGAGGACAGGAAGGATTCCTTTACTATTTCCAGACTAATTCACATTTGGGCACTAAAACAGGTGTTTTTTGAGGAAAATAATATTTCTCCAGTGTTAACTATTCATTTTTAAGGAAAATCGCGCTGCACTTTTTTTTATATGCAGTTTTTATTTATGACTTTGCTGTTGCTCATTGGAGAAAAGAGGTTTAAGTCTCCAATTGAGGAAAGTGCTTAAGCACCTTGCTGAATCAGGTTGGCATAAAAGACCTTCAGAAAAGGAGTTTTGCTGTGCCCCGATGAGGCCTAGCAAAGGGCTTCGCTCCCATGGGCTTTAGCAAGTCTGTGGGAGGGAGGGAAAGGGAAGATGATGAAACCTGGGTGGAATATGGAGTAAAAGATGGTGGAAAGGGGAAGCTTTTCTCATGATTAAAATTTAGGGATTTAAAAGCTACAATATGTTACCTACTTTTAAAGTTAAGTGTTTAACAGCCTCTGCCTTTCCTTGTCTTTCTCTATGCCCTCCAGTCTCCTGTCATTTCCCCCCTTTCATCCACTGCCCCAGTCTCCTGCCTGCCTCAAAATCACCCTTCCTCCTCCCCAGACTCCCATTCCATGCCCAGATCATGCATTGAAGATTCCTGCTCTGCCATGTTTCTCCAACAGTTGAGATTGGCATGTGAAACGTCAGGAAGATCAGATGGGGGTGGAGGGACGACAACTTGAGGTGTATTCAAAATGAATCTGCTTATGAGATATTAGCTTCACCCTTAGTTATGGAGTAGTTACCGTCAACTGCTGGATGTGGCAGTTGTGACGCTAGCGATTCAAAAGCGCTGTTATTCTATGTATAGAACACCAGTCTATCGAAGTATAATAAAACCCAAGGCAGGTTAAATTAATAAAAATATAAAGGAATTTAAAATCAATATCCTGTGTCAAAGGATTTCTGAAACTTAAACATTTTCAAACCTACTTTAAAGAAGACGAATTTCATACTGACTGCTAGGTAAAAAGGAGAGCATAGCATGGCTTCTGTCACTGCAAATCTGTTTCCGACAGCTCCATCCCCTTGGCAGTCATTGAAAGACTTAAAAGAATCAGAAGCTATTTTGATACTTTAAACACTTCTTTTTGCAATTATTGATGCTTATTCTGATGTTCAAAAACTACACCTCTACCCCATTTTCTTCACCAAATTAAATCTTCCAATGAGAGAGTAGGTCTAGTCTACCAGGGAAATTTTTTTTTAATTGAAAGTTCAAGTTGAAGTCATTTAAATTCTGACAGATCTCTGACTCTTCAGCTGGGGTAATTCTGGTATTTGTTCTTGAAGTCTTTGTCAGTCTCTTGTGGGCTATGTAACTTGATGCTGCTGACTTTTATTAATTTCCTATGTCAAATAAAAGCATTTAGTGCAGCAAACAGGGTGGATTGCCTTTTTGTTTTGGGGAGGCAATTTTTGTTTTTTGGAATGAGGTTTCTGGAGCCCTGAGGCTGATGCTCAAGACAATTTGGCTTGAGAAATAAATCATGGGGTTTGACTGCTGTGACCTCTTGCTCCTCAGGTCCAGGCTTGAGACAAAGTGGGCACTGTTTGAAGAGATATGTTAAGGATAAGCTTGCAATTTAAGTGGAAGCTCACAGCAGTTGTGTAGTTTCTTTTGATTCTTTCAAAAAGAAGATATTGTTTTTGCAAAGCCACCCTACCACTCAAGAGGAAGGGGGGAAATCAGATTAGATTTAATGTGCATTTTCTTGCAGTTAAAGTTTTGCTGCTTAATTATCAATTGGGAAATACGTGCAGCGTGTAAGAAATGTGCTTTCTTTTATAAATTAAAAGTACAATATAGGAAAAAGACACTACCTGAATGCGTTGGAGTAGGATATTGTAAAACCCGGTCTGCAAAATCCACAACCAGGAAAGCACTGAACAGAGTTTTCAAAAATGTAAAACAAGGGCCCTATTCTGCAACCACTAGTGAGAATAACACTTACTGTGAGGCACACGAATGAGTTCAATGGGACTACTCATGCAAGTAAGTCTCGTGTCCATGTAGCTAACTGCATTACCTTTGCGTTTCTCCCTTTCATTATGCTCTTTTCCAATATCATGTATTGTAAACAGGCTTTTAAAGACTTCTTTCTCTGGGCCACTCTCCAGAAATGTTCAGTGCACTTCCATATGTTGTTTCCTCTGTTTTCTGTTCTTGACTGCTTCAAATGATGGTGGTTTTACTGTTCCATTTGGAGGTCTGTTTGGGGGGGCTAATTACTGTCCCTGAATACATTTTTACTAGTATCAAATGCTAATCTGAGTTTAAGGAGTGTGCAATAAATATGGGAAAAGACTGTTAGGTATATTTGTACCTCTCAGACTTTCAGGTGGCATAGTAATCTAGGAATCATAATGGAGAAATGGGTATATAATTAACAGTTTACTAAGCATCATCTCTTCAGCGTCTTTTTTGTGGTGGCGCCCATTATGTATCAGTATTTGATGGGAAGGAAAGGACAGACTTTATGGATAGATTCACTAGCACATCTAGAAAAAGCAAGCAGAATTTCTACAGAGAAACTTAGATACTTTAATGCTTAGGCATTGATCATGCCAACTCTGTTATACATGCTTAACTTTGTGCACATGAGTAGTCCTGTTGAAGTCAACTGCATAAGCGTTTGCAGGTTTAGGGCCTTATGGTCCCCCTTAGGAACCATTATGCTAGGAGAGCTGTTCATAATGCTCAGTTTGGTAGAAAAGTTTGTGCTAGTGCAAAATTTAAAGCTTTTGTATCTGTAAAAACAATATCACAGTCCTGAAGATCAGATAAGGTTTCTTCATAGAAGGAAAACAGGCAAAAGTGACAAGAGGCATGCTGTCATAGCTAACAAGGAAAAGTGCCAATGCAGCAAGTACATGTTGTAAACTTTGTCAGAAGGTACCCGATCTGTGAGTAAAGTAAATATTTAACATCTATAAAGTTGCTTAAACTAAGGCGTTACCAAGTAAATATTGTCCAACTGAAGAATAGAGAGACCAAGAATTGTGTATGCAACACCTTTTGCAAAGCCTCAAAGAAGTTAGAAGCTGTGTATGCAAGTACAATTCTGAAATACTCTGAGGCTGAGACACAATAAATGGGAGCAGATGCTGACATCCAGAGGAGACTGGGCAGGAGAGGGACCAAATGATGTACTGTAATTTTTTGTTTTCTGGAATCTTCCTTTGGGAATCTATGTTTAATTATAGTAGTGCTCTACTAGTCTGTACTATGGGCTTCATTTGTTAATCCGGGACACATTTCTCAACATTGCAGCATATATTATTATAAATGGATTTTTAAAAATTGTTTTTCTGAATTCTGAATAATATTGCATGACTTTGACCATTAATACATCGTGTCATGTTCTCAATAAAAATGACATTTAGTCCCACGTTTTGCTATATAATGAATGAGACTTGCTGGCTAGCTCCAAAACTCTATTAAGAGAGTATAGAAATCCATTAAGAATTTATTTCGTTCTAGGAGGCAGTGTGAACAAAAGAGGTGTGCAGTGACCTAAAATGCTTTTGCTGTGTATAATAGGAGCAATGTATGTGTGTCCTGACAGAGCCAAGGGAATGACATATGCTGATAAAATGCAAGAAAAATGGAAAGTTAATGTAAGGAACTATTAATAACTCAGATGAGTATTAAATCTTTTAACAGAATACTGTTGAAGGTTTTTTTTTAAATACTGTAGCTTTAATGAATCTGTCTCCCAGTCTTGTGCCCAGCCAGGACAATAGGGAGGTCTGTTTTAAACAAAAAAACTACTGGCTTTCAGCCTATTAATTAGAATTAGTGATTTATTTTTAAGTCTACATCTGCAGTGCTTGCTGCATCTGTCAGTATGACTCATGCTTCGGTAGATTTGACTGGGCGGATGGAGTTTAAGTGTCTCGGGGTGAAAAATCTGTGTTAGTACGATAGACCTGTCACTGCACAAATAATGTTGATAGATGCTTGTAGTTCTTATACACAGTTCCTTAACCACATAATTGGATAGAAAAAAACTGAAAGGGTTGCTGTTATGTCTGAGGTGTTTCTCTGTTTAAACTAGTAGGATTCAAGGGAAGCTACTTAAGTCTCTAAACAGATTTTTATGTTAAAAATGATATTTTTATCCATTGTTGAATTTGGCCTAACTGTAGGAAAAATCATTAATTTTTCTGTTGATCTAGCTAGATCATTCTTCTGTATATCATAATCAGGAGGAAATGGATATTCAGTATTAACAGATAATAAACATCACAAACCCACCTCAAAAGCTTAGTTACTACCAATTGTCTTAATCAGTTTTGGATTTGAGATTTTTGTTTGGAAAAAGTGGAGGAGTTGGATGTGAGGTTTTCATTTTAAATTAATTAATTCAAAGAGCTGATTTAACGTGCATTGGAGAATACATGGACTATAACTTCCTCACTGTTACCTTTGCTCATCCTTCTATCTGCCTCTTGTTTTATACAGTAAAAGCTGTTTTATCCGGCACTTCACCAACCAGAAAGCTGTATAAACCGGCATTTCTGATCTTCATTGAAAGTCCAGTTTATAGTCTGGTTGGCGTGGGGCTGGCAGGGGGTTGGGGTGCGGGAGGGTGTGTGGCGTGTGGGCTTAGGGAGGGAGTTTGGGTGCAGAGGAGGGGAGGGGGGCTTGGGTCACGGGAAAGGGTGCAGGGTGCCAGATCTGTCACTCATCTCGGGTGGCTCCCCACAAGCGGTGACCTGTCCGGGCTGTTTCTAGGCGGAAGCGCGGCAGGGCATTTAATATTAATGGAATAAATCAAAGTGATATAGTGCCTAGAGATGTAGCTTAGTGCATACACACAGATGCAGCCTAACAAAGGCAAGTGTAGTCAACATTCAGGGTATGAAGTAAAAACAACTTGCTACTTTGAGATACCAATACTAACTCTTCTTATTTCCCCAGCCCCTTCTATGGAGAAGACTTTTACTGTGAAATTCCTCGGAGTTTTCGTCACCTGTCATTTTACATTTTTGATAGAGATGTTTTCCGAAGGGATTCCATCATAGGTATGTGTTTATAAAATGCTTATTTTCATTATAGTTGTAATCCTTCAGGATTTCCCATGTTCATCAAACTATAAGCAACTATATGAATTCAGGTCTTAGAATGGGCAGTAATGATAGTGATTGATATACCTTTTTTTCTTTCGTGGTGTGTTTTTTCTCTCCTATATATTACATGCTATATAGGAGTCTAGGAAATACAAATAAATTGATGGGGAATGCAGATTATTACAGTTTAATCAAAATATACAGTAAGTATTACAGCATTATGTTAAAGTTAGCAGCATCATTTATAATCATGTGATTTTATGTAGGACTTTGGGATGTACCTGGCCTTTTGTGGACCCCTGCTGGAGTATTACTATACCCCACCCCAGGAAGGAGCAGCAGAGATGGGTCCTCCCAGCTTGCCTAGAGAGGCCTTGTGGAAGCAGCCAATCCGAGCCCAGCAGGCTCAGATAAAAGCAACTGCAGGGCTTTAGCTGGTCAGTTCCTGGCTGGGACCAGAGGGGCAAGAAAGGGTGCTCTTCTCTGGCTAAAGGAGCTCAACTGGCTGGATTTACTAGACCTGGGAGTGAGAGGACCTGTCAAGTTTAACCCTAAGGTAATAGATGAAGGTAAAGGGAGCAGGAGAGAAGGGGCCCAGGGAATGCAGCAGTATGCAAGGTCCCTAGGTTGGAACCTGGAGTTGTGGGTGACTCTGGGTTCCCCCACTGGCCACTAGAAAAGTGGCCTAAGTCCCAAGAAGGGGACAATGCCTTTAGAAGCCGGAATGAAGGGTGGGGCCTAGCGATGGGGCTGAAGACCCTGGTGAGGGCAGACAGTTTGTTTGACTTTCTCTGCCCTGGAAGGGGTTCATCCATTTTGACTGTGTGATTTGGCTGGAGGACTGAGCCACTGAAGGCCCACCTAGTGAGGTCAGCAACCTACCGGGGGTGCCAGGAGGAGGAAAAAGATTACAGTACCACACCCACCCTCAAAGAGGCACTCAAGGTGAGTGCTGCCATTACAGGCCTTTAATCTCAAAAAAATCCCCAAATACTTTAAAAAGTATCTGCATGTAGCATCACTAAAATACTACCACCTTTGAAGTAGGAGGCAATAGCTAATGGGTCACATAGTATAAGAGTGGTAGGGGAAGGAGAAATTTCACCCAGAACATCAGGGCAAACCCTTACTTGTGCAAAGTCCCATGAGATTTTTTCAGTGTCCATGCAAAGTAGACAAGACCTCTGCTTGTAGGGTCATGTTTGAAAACTCGATGTGTAGTAAACTCAGTAGCACTTAATTTATCTGCTTCAGGGCTTGTCTATATGGCCTCTTAGTGCAAAGCAAACTGGAGCATTCTACACCTGATTTAGTCTGACATGCACTAAGTGACTGCATGGACCCTGCTGCCATTCACTAACAGTTCTGTAGAGTTCTTTGATTTTTTCCTGTTTCAAACAAGTATAGGTCAAAGTGCACTATGTTACTGTGCAGCAGCAGGGTCCACATGGCAAGTGAGTGTTTGGGAGGTTAGTAGGGTTGCCAACCCTCCTGGTATCAGGCTATCTCAGAGATTTTAGGCCTCTAAAAGTCTGGCAGTGCAGAGGGGCTAAGGCAGGCTGCCTACCTGCCCTGGCTCTGCGCCACTCTCGGAAGCAGCCAGCACATCCCTGTGGCACCTGCCGGGGGGCAAGGGTCACCGCACTCTGCCCGCACCCCGAACACTGACTCCACAGCTCCCATTGGCCGGGAATTGCAGCCAATGGGAGCTGCAGTGGCAGTGCCTGCAGGCAGGGGCTGTGCATGGAGTCCCCTGTTCCATGCCCCCACCTGCAAGGACATGCCGGCCACTTCTGGGAGCGGCGGGGGGCCAGGGCAGGCAAGGAGCCTGCCTTAGCCTCGCTGTGCCACCGACCAGGAGCTACCTGAGGTAAGCGCTGCCCAGCCGGAGCCCACACCCCTTACACCCTCCCATGCCCCACCCCCCTGCCCCAGCCCTGAGCCCCTCTGCACCCAAACTCCTTCCCAGAGCTTGCACCCCCTCCTGCACCCAAACTCCTTCCCTCACCCCCTCCTGCAGCCCAATCCCTTGCCCCAGCCCAGAGTCTCCCCCCGGAGCCCGCACCCTTTCCCACACTCCAACCCTGTCCCCCAGAACTCAGCTCCCTCCAACACCCAAACTCTCTCCTAGAGCTTGCACCCCGCACCCTCTCCTACACCCCAACCCCCTGTCCCAGGCTCAGCACAGAGCCCCCTCCCACACTCCAAACCCCTTGACCCCAGCCCAGAGCTCCTGCAACGGAACCCCCTGCCCTAGCCCGGTGAAAGTGAGTGAGGGTGGGGGAGAGCGAGCGATGGAGGGAGGGGAGAATGGAGTGAGTGGAGTGGGGCCTCAGGGAAGGGGCGGGGCAGCAAGTGTGTTTGGGTTTGTGTGATTAGACAGTTGGCAGCCCTGGAGGTTAGTGTGCTGTAGGTTTACAGCCTGGCTGGCTGAGTGCTAACTGCCATCTAGACAATGAGTTAGAAGGATAACGAGCTTCCTCAAGCCTTCATGATGATGATGAGGAGGGGGGAGGAGATTTAAAACCCTTTCAATCAGTCATATAAATGTCAAAATGTATTTGTTTTAGGACAGGGTTGGTTTTTTTTTTCCAAACTTTTTTATTTGTGGACCCCTACAAAATTTCAAATGGAGGTGCGGACCCCTTTGGAAATCTTAGACATAGTCTTTGGACTCCCCGGGGGTCTGCAGACCACAGGTTGAAAACCACTGTAACGACAACCTTTCACAGATCCCTTCGACACTGTGGGCCCCCCGGTTGAAAACCACTGTTCTCATAGACTCATAGACTTTAAGGTCAGAAGGGACCATTATGGTCATCTAGTCTGACCTCCCGCATGATGCAGGCCACAAAAGGTGACCCACCCACTTTCCCTTAACTCAGCTGTTGAAGTCTCCAGATCGTGATTTAAAGACTTCAAGTCGCAGAGAATCCTCCAGCTTGCGACCCCTGCCCCATGCTGCGGAGGAAGGCGAAAAACCTCCAGGGCCTCTGCCAATCTACCCTGGAGGAAAATTCCTTCCCGACCCCAAATATGGCGGTCAGTAGAACCCCGAGCATACAGGCAAGATTCTCCAGCCGGACCCTCATTTTACCAGCGATGGCATGTTATTGCCTAATTGACTAAAATCACGTTATCCCATCAAACCATTCCCTCCATAAACTTATCTAGCCTAATCTTGAAGCCAGAGAGGTCTTTTGCCCCCACCGTTTCCCTCGGAAGGCTGTTCCAAAATTTCACCCCTCTGATGGTTAGAAACCTTCGTCTAATTTCAAGCCTAAACTTCCCCATGGCCAGTTTATATCCATTTGTTCTCGTGTCCACATTAGTACTGAGCTGAAATAATTCCTCTCCCTCCCTGGTATTTATCTCTCTGATATATTTAAATAGAGCAATCATATCTCCCCTCAGCCTTCTTTTGGTTAGGCTAAACAAACCGAGCTCCTCGAGTCTCCTTTCATATGAAAGGTTTTCCATTCCTCGGATCATCCTAGTGGCCCTTCTCTGTACCCGTTCCAGTTTGAGTTCATCCTTTTTAAACATAGGAGACCAGAACTGCACACAGTACTCCAAATGAGGTCTCACCAGTGCCTTGTATAACGGAAGCAGCACCTCCTTGTCCCTACTAGAAATACCTCGCCTAATGCATCCCAAGATCGCGTTAGCTTTTTTCGCAGCCATGTCACATTGCCGACTCATAGTCATCCTGCGGTCAACCAGGACTCCGAGGTCCTTCTCCTCCTCCGTTACTTCCAACAGATGCGTCCCCAGCTTATAACTAAAATTCTTGTTAGTCATCCCTAAATGCATCACCTTACACTTCTCACTATTAAATTTCATTCTATTACTATTACTCCAATTTACAAGGTCATCCAAGTCTCCCTGCAGGATATCCCGATCCTTCTCCGAATTGGCAATACCTCCCAACTTTGTGTCATCCGCAAACTTTATCAGCCCACTCCTGTTTTAGGAGCACAGACATTTTTCATTATCCTTGCAACGTTACTTTTTATTTTTAAGTTTTAGATGGTTTTGTTTTAATAGTCTTGATCCTTTTTTCAACAGTTTGACAAAATCATACATTATCTTTATTGTAAACAACAATGTTCCAGCTTAGTAAATCTGTAGTTTTCAATGAAGAATGCATGCTTTGCTAAGTTTGGGGAGGGTGGAGAAATAGTTACCAAAAAAGTGAGAATATGCTGTACAAATGCAGTATGCAGTCATGCTTAGTGTGCATATAGAGTGAATCTATCTAGCTACCCACACACTTCTTCTCAGTATAGTTATTTCAGCATGCAGTCACTGAATTCTTTTATTATTAAAAAAAAAAGGAAAAAGACCTCAAAACGGCACAGTTATGATTTGATATTTTACACAGGGTGCATTGAATTAAATCACTGCGTTTAATCATGATTTAAATCAGCAAGCAGGAAACATGGATTTAAATAATTGATTTTAATCTTGTTTTGCAGTTGTGCTTTCCTAAAGAAAAGGTTGATTCTCATTGATTAGTAACTATTAAAATATGTTCACTTATAACTAAATATAGCCTTTTCACTAAATTTGGTATTTTTTGCTAGGCAGATACATATCTATACATATTTATTTAAGCGTGTACATAGCTTAACACATTTATTCAGATTCTTAATTTTTACATTTTTTTAATATGTTAATAAATGGTAAATGATGCATTTCTTATTTACTCATGAGTTGTGTTGAGCTCTGTTTGGATGGAAATGCAATAAAAATACACAAAACAGCTTTTTTATTAATTACATAAAACTAGCTTAAATAGGCTGGGTACATAAGAGAAATAGCTTACGAAAATACATTTTGCATTTAAAACTAACTGAAGTTTTTTAGATAGTTGAATTAGTATGACCTGAACTAATGGTTTCTGGTCCCTCAAGATTTTAGAGCTGGTAGGGATTATCTTTCACAGCTAGTTT